GCACCGGGAGCTCCCGGGTCCTCACCTGATGGACCACACGCTGTAAGAAGTCATCTCCCAGCCTGGTCTCCTTAATGAGGCCCAGCCACCGACTGCAGTAACAAGGGTGGGTTTTGAAATGCATGGAGGGTACATTCCATTCCCTCAAGCCCTTTGCACTGGAAGGGGCAGAAGTCCAGAAGCCAGCTGTAGACGGAGGAAGCCTCTTCTGCTGGGAGAAGGAGGAGGCCGTCCAGAGCTCCTAAATGATCCAAATCTGCCGCTGGTCATAAAGAGACCCAAGGATGGCTTCTGTGTATCACCGAAGTGGTGAAACCAAAGAGAACCTATGCAGAACCAACACCATGCACCATAAATATTGACTGAACCCAAAGAAAGAAGGAAGGTGAATTGGATATCCACTGTATGTGTGTGGTCTTCCTTAGGCATCACGATGCTTCCGGGAGGAAAGCATGATTGCCTGCCTTCATTGATGAGGAGACAGAATCTCACTGAGGTTAGGTGACATACCAAAGTCAGATTGCTAGGAAACCCTAGGGCTGGGATTCCCACATTTGCTTGGCTGCCAACACCACATGCTCAGCTCTGCACCCCTCTGAACGTTGGGTTTGAAGCCCCGTCCAGTGTACCCAGGAGGGTAATGAATTGAAATGGCCTTGGAATAAAACATTTCCAGGCTGGATTTATCCTTGTGCAAGTGCAAACAGAGAAAAGTGAAAGCCAAAAACAAGGAGGCAATGGTCTGTGTATTTCTCCTAGAAGTGCTGGGAAGATGTTACGAGTCATAAAACATTGATGTTTTTGCAATTGCAGCACTTATGACGGCAAGAAACGGATCTCTCTTCCTGTTTATGAATGTACTAGACAGTGGGTATAGGACATGGGAGAAAGGCTAAATGGGTCATTAGCTAAAATACACTCAAGGGATTTTTTCTGGGGAAATGCCAATAAGAGAATCTCAAAGATCATCTGGCTTCGGATTCCACGGTCCATGGCGTGTACTCAGCTAATGTTTATGGGGCTCCTGATACGCGCCCGGGTCTGCACTTGGTCTGAAGGTTCAGATCCCAGACCCTCCATTTACTCTTTGACCTTTGGCCTACAGAGCCTCTAAAAAGGTGATGCCCTTTGACCTTTGGCCTACAAAGCCTCTAAGAAGGTGATACTACTCCTTGGATAGTAACTGGAGTGGTAGGCAAGGAGCACACATAAACCCCAGTACCGGACCTGGCCCCCGGGGAGTACTCGACTAGATAGCGGTCTCCCTCCCTCCATCCTTCTTCCTTCCCTGGCTGAAGTATTAGAGTAATTCCAAAAATGTGTCAGGGATTACCAATCAGCATACAAAAAAAAGAAAAAAAAGTGAGAAAGAACAAAGAAAGAAACTCAAACAAGAGTGAAAAATCCCCTGACCTATAGAAACTAAGGCGTAAAAAGCACCAGCTTGCTTTGCTTGGGCTCACCAATGCTGGTAGCCACAGGTGCCCCACTATTCTACTAACATGAATCCCCACAGGCATCCACATTTGCGTTTTCTGTCTCTGATTCCTGGCCAAAGCTCACAACCTTCCACAAACATTTCTGGAGCCATGATGAAAGCCTGATGAAAAACTTGGAGGTGCCACTAACTAAAAGATTATGGCCATTTAACTGTTAAATTAATTATTTAAAATTTAAACAAGAACTCAAAACTTGGCATGTATTGTAAAATCAAAAGGTCTTTTTCTCTTCGTTTTTTGGATTGCCAAACTCGGGCAAAAGTCACTGAGTGCTGATTGGGTAATCCGGCAGAAGTGCCAGGCATGGTCTGAGGCACCAGAAATCTGGTGGTGAGCAAGAGACAGGTCAGGTCATTGCCCACAGGCAGCTTGGATTGTACTTGAGAGCGAAAAGCTCTTGCAAACAGTCACCTTGAGAGCAGGCATCGAGCCAGCTCAAATGCATAAACCTTCCTCCAAATAAGCTACTGTTTCTTCGTCTCAAATATCCTCTTCATTCATTCCTGCTTCCCGTCACAAAAATCTTCCTCCCAGGAGGAGGCATTATTAAGGGAAGCAGCAGTGGAAGGCTTTAGATGTTGTTCCTGGAAAGAGAGTCCCAGCTGATGTTCTTGGGGACTCTTGGACTGTTGAGGTCTTCAACACCTGCTAACTGGCACTGTGACAGGCTCCAGATGTGTAGCAGATTCTAGGCCACTAAGATCCATACGCATCCAACCACACATGAAAATAACTGTATGCCCAAGTTATAGAAATCCAGGAGAGCAAAGAGGGAAATGTGTTCACATCGCAGATACATGCTAATGACAGCGAGACTCTGAGCCAAAGGGAATGCTCCAGTCTTTTAGCTGAGTGTCTGCTGAGACAAAAATAAGCAGATGTTCGAGAAGATTTCTCAGCAGAGTACTAAATGAAGCAGAAGACCAGCCAGGACTGTACCATTTCATTCACAAGAGGATGCAACCATGCTCTCCCAATTCTTCCCCTTCAGCTTTCTGCCTGCCACAAACCAATTCTTTATCAGCTCTGATAACAGCAAATAAGGAACAGCATAGGAAACAGGCTACAGAATAAGCTCATTTCTAGGCTGCTTCTCCACCCCACCCCACTCCTAAAGCCCATCAAAGTTATTGATGCTGGACAAGTAGTTGCATCAATTGGGTTTAGGTTTTCCAAAGCAACTGTACTCACGACCCTATGCTGAATGAGTTCATTTGGCAGCAGAAATCCTTGTAGTTTCCCAGCTGCTCCCATGCCTTGCTGGGCCTCTGTACTCTTGCACAAGCTCTTAGCCTTGTCTGGAATGGTCATTACCTTTTATCACCTGGCTAATTCCTGTGGGACCTATAAGACTCAACTTCAGAAGTAATTTCCCCTGATTCCCCCACTTCTGGGCTGGGTTCCTGTTTTCTGAGCTCTGTGTTTCCCCTACTGTCACAGTGCATGGAGCTGCTGGTACTCATCCGTCCACCTCACCAAAGGGGGAGCTTGTCCGGAAGTGAGAAGGTGCAATGGCACAGGAATTCTAGAGTGGATTGGCCTGGGTTAAAATCCTACTTCTCCACTTTCCAGCTGTGGGACATTGGGCAAGTTACTTAACCTGACTGAGCCCCCTTTTCAATATAAGGGTATGAATGGCGTCTACCTGAAGAATCGTCGCAACGCTGAAGGAGATGATGCGTGCAAAGGGCGTAGCATAGCACAGCGCCACTCCTCATTCAACAGAAAGTAGCTACACTTACTGCATCTTTCAGGTCCTTTGAATCATTCACTGTGGTTGCCTCTCATGGCGGGAGCACAGAGTACTCGGAGAGGAATAAATAGTGGGTTACAAGAATGGGGTGGTCAACTGGGACCTTGAATGCCAAGATAAGTATTTGGGCCTGTGTCTGGAAGGCCATGGAGAGCCACTGAAGGTTTATGGACAGAATTGTGTCCCCATACAGTGATGCTTTAGAAAAAGCACTCTGAGAGCGGGTGAGGAGATGATTTCAAGAAAAGGAGAACCAGATGCAAAAGGATCAGTTAAGAGGCTGATGGGAGAATCCAGAAGAACAGTGTGCTGAGGCCTGGGTGGGGGGGTGAGGAGGCACGAATGAGAAAAATTGCAAAATAGAAATGGCACCTTGGGTTTGTGGGAGGAGAAAGCAGCAAGTTTCAAGCCTGGCCACTGAAGGCAAGCAGTTGTCTTGCTATTCACAGAATTAGGAAGTAGACAATGGAGAGACAATGGGTCTGTCGTTCAAAGACAAGATCTCTGCCCTCAAGAAGCCTTCCAGTGGAGGTTAGGTAGCATGGCTTGGGAATAAAAAGAGCCTGGCAGTCTGGGCTTTAACAAGGTCACTGCCATCACAGACCTGCTCACAGTCCTGCTGAGCTATGACACAGCTACATGCACATGACCACACAAACACATGTAGAGACATCCATGCACACAGCACCACACTAGAGTCACATGGAGACACACAAAACCCATCGGCTCCTACGTCCCCCACTGCTAGAACTGTCTTCTGTCACACGCTATGGACACACAATTCCTCATTCACAAGTACGATCTCACACACACACGGATTCTAAGATACAGAATTGGTGACATGAGGATCACTGTCCGTGGGGACTATGTAGTTACAAGAACCCAATCAGAAGACTCTGAATTGAGTCAATATCATATCAGAGAAGGTTTTCCTGGAAACCGTAAAATGTAAGGTGGTGATTTTATCCCTTTAAGCCAAGGACTTAGCTTTGCTCCTGAGCTTTGTGTTCAGACATGGTGATTCCTTCATTTCCTGCACATTCTTTGTCCTGACTCACACAACTGATTTGATCCTTATCTCAAACGTGGGAGTTATCTGAGGTTAGGGTTGTTATTGTTCCCATTTTTCAAATGAGGGCACCAGAGCTCAGAGAGGAAAGGTGTCTGCTCGAGATCATATTGTTAACAAATGGTGACAGCAGGATTCAAATTCGGGTCTGTCTGCCTCCAAAGCAGTTACCCTTTCCCCGCCCTGCCTGCCCCATGTGGTATCTGAAATGGCTCGCAAGCTAGGATTGCAAGGATGGACATGTCTTCATGTCATTCATGGAGACAAGGGGCTAGTGGGAAGGAGACCAGAGCCCTTATTTCTTTTTCTGTATCATTTTTTTAAGTAGTTCCAATTTTTAAATCATGGTGGACAAAAGAAAATAAAGCAAGTGCCATCATTTGTTCAAATAATAGATGTCAGTGTCCTAGAACAGAACAGGGAAGGCTCTCAGGACAGAACTTCAAAGTTGAGCTTCCAAGATGAGTATAGGAGAGAGAAGGGGTGCTGGAGGAGGAAAGGGAAGCGCTTGGGCACAAGATTCCCCTCCATGGAGTAGTCTCATTGCCATGTCCCTCATCTCAGAATGCCCAGGTTGGGTAGCAGAGGCATCTTAATCATGCCTTTGCTATGGGCAGCTGTGGGGTTGGGTGACAAAAGGACCACAGGTGGGCTGAATCATATCTTTCTTTTCCAATAGACTTCAAAAGGGCAAGAGTTTGGACCCTCACATCAGCGAGCTTGTAAGTGTGTTCGTATTTGTTGCCTTCTCTTGTGGGGAACAGAGCATTCAGTAGTTTGGGTATGAGGGAGGTTCAGAGGGATGAAAACCCAGAGGAGAAGTGAGGTTGCTCCCAAGTCACTAAAAAGACAAAATGGTGCTGTGTCCAAGTATATGGCCTATGGAGGTGATGGCCTTTGGCAAATAATGTCACTTGCCTCTGTCTCAGTTTACTCACCTGTAAATTGGCTATAATGGTATCTACCTTCTCAGATTAGTGTGGATTAAATCAGTTAATTCCTATAAAAGTATTAGAAGAATGCCTAATCCTACCCCTCCCTACCCTATTGGTTAGGCCATCCAGACGCTTCAGTGGATATGGCTAAAGGGACCTTGAATAAGGCCAAAGGTCAGTTTGCTCCCCCTGAAGCAGTAGCAGGGAGGGAAGGGTAATGTGAGTTCATTGAGCATCGGCCATGTGCCAGGAATCATGCTGAGCACTCTCCATTCATGCTAGCAAGGGATGTGCCCACCTTCGAAATGAGAAAACAGAGTCTGGGGCAGGTTGGAAACTTGCCCAAAGTTACGGGCCAAGATTCATTTGTGTTCAAGACTCTTTCTCCTGAGGCTTCTCTGTCCCTGGGAAAATGACAACAATCCACAGTGGACCAAGCTGAAGGAGAGGAATGTTTCTCTCCAGTTGTAGGCACCATGCAACTCCAAAAATCCTGTCTTCACTCCAGCCACCCTCTGACTCACACAAAGCATCTCTCTCCTTTCCTTACAGATGCAATTTCCGGAGCTGGTGGGGATAAGCCAAGGGCACACCTGACAGGTATTGCTCCCTGGTGTGTTTTCCAGGGGATCATGTATGGGCCATGGGCCCAAGATTTCTTTCAGAGGGTTTGTCAAAACTTATTCTAGTAGCTTCAAACCAGAAACCACACACCTTGGTAACAGACTTCTCCTCTCAATTGAGGGTTTTCAGATGTCGTCCTCCCTTAAGGGTTCCAAAGGCCCACGGCTCTTGGGCATTTTCCTTCAGATTCTATCAGCCCTCTTCCTTCCTCTCCTGTCTCTCCCTTTCATACACACCCTCAGGCATTCAGAAACGGCTTCACTCAGACTCAGAGATTCATATAATTCTGAATCTGGTCAAAGATGAAAGATCCCCTGGGCTGCTAAAAGTATCAAGTCCATCTGTACCCCATTCACGATGAAGTGATTGGACATTTGCATTCAGGTAGACATTTGCAAAGAATTTTTGTTGATGTGAAGAGATTCAGAGCGGCCTCATAATATCACCAGCTGGCCAGTTTCCCAAGCCCACTGTTGAAATTTCTGACATCTGATGCCCGGAGTTGCATATACATCTAAGACTCCAGAGAAAAGAGCAAGACTGTGCACAAATATGTGTTAAAAACCCATTGAAAACCTAAGGAGTTAAAAGCAAGCATACTCTCCTGACCTATAAGAAAATTTGCAGCCCACAGGGGGCTATCCCCAGGGCCCAAACATGTGACTTACATGTGACCAAGAGGCTAGTGTTTGTGGTGAGTCCTGAATGAGGATTAGGACCAGACAGACATGAAGTCACTAGTCACTTACCACTTGCCTTTAAGAATGGGAGAGATTGAACCCGCTGGGCAGGAAAAATCCTAACAACAGAGTGTGAGGCTATCACCCTTCTTCCTACTGAATGGGGGAGCTGGGGCTGGGAATCTAGGTTCCCCTGAGCTCCTCACGTGTACCAGCACTGTGGTAGGCATTTTGCAACCGTGATCTCATTTGATCTGCATATCAGCCCAACAAGGGGGGAAGCTGAGGCTCTGACAAGTCAAGTCACTTGTCCCAAATCACATACATGACTCAGAAGAGCTGAGATTTGAGTCTGACTCTTAGACCTGCACTGTTCCCATTACAACCTACTTCGTACCCTAACTCCCACTTGCTGCCGTGTTGACACAGTGAATTGCATACCAGTTCAACAAAACTCGCTTTGTCTAGAGACTAAACGATTTTTTTGTTTTTGCCTCATCCCAGAGGATTTTTTTAATCTACTGCATCATCCACAAAGAAGGAGTGGAGATGATCAGGAGTGATTAATAAAAATGCCTTTCAGAGATTTTACAAAGAAGCAACAAAGCTCTCCAGGGCGCACTGAGTGCGGGGTGGGGGACCAGAGAGACCACATGCATTCTAAACATGTGTCATTGTGCAAAATAATCCAGGGTCCAGTCAGCATCGGCAAAGATGCTTAAGAAAATCCAGGAACCAGATTTCTAGGCAGCCACCGGGTATGAAAGTTGCTAAATATTTCCTTAAAGATAACCTATCCCCAAACGGTGGCTGATAGCACATAGCGGGGACCACTATGGATTTCCAAAGCCACCGTAGGAAATTAAAATATGCTTTTATCTTCCTAAAACATACTAGTTTTACTGCAGATTATCTTATTTGAAATCAATGGTTTGGTTCTATTCATTTTTTCTGCGATACACATACTTCATAAAAGCACTCATTTATATGTCCAAGTATATAATGTATATTTGTAAACAATGCAAACATAAGAACATATAAAAATATATACAGTGAAATAGGCTTATTTTTTAATCTGTCAAGATGAGAGATGCTGGCTTATTTGGGGAAAGTGACTATGTATTGAGTACTTGCCATAGCCAGCCTCATGATAAAAATGTCCATGTCTCCTCTATTCACTTGATCTTCCAAATGAGACGGGGAAGGGGCTTTATCTCTAGCTCAGGGACAGGAAATCAAGACTCAGAGAGAAGGGACCTACATCACTGATTAAAAACGTTACATGGCCAGAGCTGAAGTGGCCCAGAGCCCTGGTCCCTTACACTCCACAAGCCAATGACATCAGCTTGTATTTTGGTGTCAGAGAAGCATTTCCAGAATGTTCTGGATCTCTGGTTCCAATATCTGTCCTGCATGTTGATTTTTTTATTAATCACTGTCTGAATTTCAATAACTTTGGGCCGTAGCATTGCAGGGGAGCTATAGGGAACATCCAACTCCCTAAAATGTCCACTCTTTGTAGCAGGGTATGTCTGAAACAAAAGGCTAATGAAAGTGAATGCAGTTTAGAGGGTATACCTAATAGCTGGGGATTTTATACACACCATCCTTTTTCTTTTTTAAAGATTTTATTTATTTATTTATTTGAGAGAGAGAAGGAGAGAGAGAGAGAGAACACAAGCAGGGAGGAAGGGCAGAGGGAGAGGGAGAAGCAGGCTCCCCACCAAGCCCAATGTGGGGCTCGATCCCAGGACTTCAGGATCATGACCTGAGCCAAAGGCAGACGTTTAACCGACTGAGCCACCCAGGCGCCCCCACACCATCCCTTTTAATCCTTTCCATGGGTATTTTTATATGCTTAAAAAAAAAAAAGGAAAGATACGTCAAATGAAAAACAAATCCTGACTTAGTAAAGAGAGAGCTTGTGCAAAAGGATTATTGCACAGTGGGAGAAAGGAGAAAGAAAATCAGCAGCAATAGGGAGAATGCTCTGGCCAGAAGGTCTGCAAGTGTCTCAAGGGTTAAGCAAAAAGGGGTTTCCTTTTGTAGAAAGGAGTAAACAAAGCTAGAAAGAACCAGGTGGGAAGAAGTGGGATAAAGGTATTAGCGTCAGACAATGTTTTACCCGAAGGCCAGCCTGTTCTCAGGAGAGACTGCTGGTCCAGGCTAAGGGTAGACCAAAGCCTGGAGGCAGAAGAGAAGCTTAACCAAAATTGGGTTAACAAGCATTATGTTGGGGCGCCTGGGTGGCTCAGTCGGTTAAGCGGCTGCCCTTAGGCTCAGGTCCTGAGATCAAGCCCCGCATTGGGCTCCTTGCTCAGAAGGGAGTCTGCTTCTCCCTCTTCCTCTGCCGTTCCCCCTGCTTCTGCTCTCACTCGTGCTCTCTCTCTCAAATAAATAAATAAAATCTTTAAAAAAGAAAAAACAAGCATTATGTTCCCATGGATCAGTGGGGACAGTACAGTTCAGCTGATCATTTATGAGGCAGAGAATGGCGATCTGGAGGATCTGGTGTCTGGTCTTGCCATAGGTACCCAAGGGGGGAGGGCACCCACCAGTTTGGTCTAAGTCATTTGGAGAAGAGGTTGATCGCAATGGGCTGTTTTCTGAAACACAAAGAGTGAGATTTCTTAACGTCCACTGTTTTCCAAGATCACAGAGCTCAGGTAAAATTCTAAATGATCAGGGAAGAAAACTCGGGCTCAGAGAGGCGAAGTCTTTTGCCCCTAAGATGCTATTCTCCGAACAAAAGTATGTGTCTGCTTACACCTCCTCCACTCATTCCTCCTTAAGGAGCTTGTCAGCTGTTGGTTTTATTCAATCACTTTACTCTGAAAATAATATGAGACTCTTTTTGGCAAAGTCCACAGGTTCTGACACAAGGAAATTAAACCTCTCTCTTGTCTTTGCAGTTGTCAGACAAAGTCCCACACAGCCCTTGAAAAATCAGTTTCCGGCTCTGCATTGGGAACATGAACTTGGCTTGGCCTTTACCAAGAACCGGATGAACTACACAAATAAATTCCTGGTGATCCCAGAGTCAGGAGACTACTTTGTTTACTCCCAGGTCACGTTCCGAGGAACCACATCTGAGTGTGGTGAAATCCACCAAGTGAGCCGACTGAACAAGCCAGACTCCATCATCGTGGTCATCACTAAGGTAACAGACAGCTACCCAGAGCCGACCCAGCTCCTAATGGGGACCAAGTCCGTGTGTGAAGTAGGGAGCAACTGGTTCCAACCCATCTACCTAGGGGCCATGTTCTCCTTGCAGGAAGGGGACAAGCTGATGGTGAACGTCAGTGACATCTCTTTGGTGGATTACACAAAAGAAGATAAAACTTTCTTTGGAGCCTTCTTGCTGTAGGGGCAAGGCAGGCATCCTCGTGTGAAGGTCCTCTGCCTCCTAGTTCCTAATTTTCTTCACTCATACGTAATTATAATAAGGTTTTTGTTTTTGTTTTTGTTTTTGTTTTGGAGCATTCCACAGAAACGGTGGCTTAGCTATGAAATTGGAAGCCCGAAATTTCATACTTTATATGCCTTATGGATGAGAATCTTAACCGGAAAAAGGCAGAACAGAGCAGACACATGACCTTGGTTGCTTGGAAAAGGGGTGGGTTTCTAAACACTGACACACTGATCACCAAATGAATGGAGGTCTACTCGGAACATTTCCACCCCTTCGTACCACACATCGGTCACCAGTGGGCCCAATTATTGTGGAATTTGATCATGAAACATTTGCTTCAGTTCAGGGGCCCTTGAACAAAATCCAGAGCCCTAGAAAACAGTATAAACCCTAGAGCAAAATCCTTCATCAGTGTCTCCAAACATATACTTTAATGCCTTGTCTTAAAAAAAAATGAAAAGAGGACTGGTATTTCTCATGAACATAAAGAAAGAAAGAAAGAAAGAAGGAAAGAAAGAAAGAAAGAAAGAAAGAAGAGAAAGAAAGAAAGAAAGAAAGAAAAAAAGAAAGAAAGAAAGAAAGAAATTGGTTTTCATGCCATCTATGGCAAATGAAAAAAGCAACCCCTCTTTTTATTCTGTGCACAGGCATGAAAACCAGCAAGTGTGAGTTCCACATGTATATCAAAAATACAACAATAGCATTTACTCAGCACAGTTTACTTGAGCACCTTTTACGTTCTGGGTACTACCTTTATCCAGAGATAAGAAGATATGAAGAATAAGACAGACTCTATGCAAAACTTAAATGAATTCCACTCCATGGCTCCTCGTCAAATATCACTCAACGTACTCCAACATGCTTGGACTAACTCCAAGTCCTAAAACAATATCTCATCTGACACTAGTATGTAAGATTTCTGAAGCTCTCCGGACACTATAAGATATCCAGCTGATTAGGTCACTCAAGAAACTCGAAGACAGATTTCTAACCAACTAGACCAGCTCTACAGCAAACCTGATCAACGCCAAGAGACAGCCGACTTACTCTCGGCGGCGGGGGGGGGGACTGACAGTCAATCACCAAATCCAGAGACGTTAACTTAGATCAGCTTTGAGGTGTGACTCACAATTTTATGTGCAGAGTGCTATCAGGGAATTTTTCTTTTAAAATACTCAAGGGATTTCAATAAGGGATGAGCTAATCAGCCCAGCCAAGGCTTCTCCCATGGAGGAGAAACTGAACATTAAGAAGGTCCCTCCTGCCCTTTAGTGACTTCATACTCTCTAATCTGTATGATTTTCCTGCACTAATATGCCAAGGATAGGAGGGGCATCTCTGCTCTTAGCCTCAGTTGACTTGTCTATAAAGTAGGAGTCCACCAATTTGTTTCCCAGGATCAAATGGGCTCGTGGGGATGAAACATGTTCGCTCTGAGCATTCTGTGCAGTCAAAGAGCATGTCGGTATGATATGGGCAGTGACCTGCTGCACATTGGCCCCTATCATCAATGCCGCCTATTGCGGGAGACCTTCACAACAGGGTCTAAAAGCAAACTTGGCACCAAAATCACTCTCACAGGTACAAAGGTGTGTGCCAGGGCTTCTGAGCAGAATGATTGGTGTAGCAGTACTTGATCAATATTTGTTGAGTTACATAAAAAGTAAAAATTGATTTCTGGTTTCTCAGTTAGGAGATTAGGGCTCTAGAGCCTTCTCAGCACAGTGAGCACAGGGCTCCATGGGAGCAGAGAGAAGGGTGTGGTGACCTCACCTGATTCATGAGTCTTCATAAAGGAAGTGAAGCCGGAGCGCCTCCTGAAAGAGGGTGGGCGGATAACAGATGGCCTCGCGGAAAGGGCATCTGAGACGGAGGAATTACCCTTTACTTAAAGCAGAAAGGAAAGGTTTCTCAGTAACTATAAAACCAGCTTGATAAGACAGTGCTCCTTCAACCTACTCCGCGAAAAATGTTTGCTGGCAGATCGGGATAATTTTATCAACTCCAGTGTGCCTCTAGGATCAGAACTCACGACCCCACGGAGAAAGTAAAATGCTCTGTCTGCATTTGCATGCGTGCCAAACACCGTGGGGAGCAGGACAGAATGGGCATGCAAGAGGCCAGAGTGACCGCCCTCACCTTCTCCACCAAAAGGAACTCTTGTAACCAAGGGTCTTCAGACGTGCCCACTGCGCCTTAGGGCATTTGTCGGATTTGGAAGTTCATCCAAGACATAGAAGTTTCCCGCTATTCTAAAAGACTTGACCACTTGCGGAAATTCCCTGCCACGTGTTTATTTTGCTCCTGTCATAAGCTTGTTTATTGAAAGGTGTATTGTGCTGAAGTTGTCCCAGCTAAATTTGTTAAGTCCTTATATCTTGTACCGCTCAGAAAGGGCCAGCCGAGCATTTCCAGTAGGACTCAAGTCAAAACTTCTGTTTCCTAGGCATTCTCTCCAAAGCCAAAATTAGTGCACTAGTTTTAAAAATGAGCTGAGAGGATGCCTAAGAACGTGCTGGTCTCCTAAAAGGAGTAAATGAGATGTTGCCAAAGATTTGCAAGGGAAGAAGGAGCATGCCTACGTGCTTCAGAAAATATTTTAGGGGGGAAATGCTCTGCTGGTCCAATGTCTCTCAAAAGGCTGAATTCAAATCAATTCCACATTTACTGAGTGCCTACTCGCCCTGGGGACACAAAGAGAAATTATTTTAGTGTCAGATGGGTTCACTCTAACCACTCAGCACCTCCATGGTCTGCATTTATGTTGGTAACATTAGCTAACTAATTAGCTAACTTTAGGCACATGGATATTTTCTCATTCGGAAAATGGGTGCCATCTGATGAAGGATGATCATTAACAAAATGATTTGTGTTTACACTAAGTGGTTTTTTAAAGAGCTACTCACAGAGTTTTCCTTTAATAAAAGGGGATAAAATAAAGATACCAAGATACCATTTCCTATAGTAGAATCCATCATTTAAGCCACCCGTGCAGAGAGGTTATCATCTGCTGGACTTGAGTTTGGCCCTCAACACCCTTGAAAATATTAGAACCTGCAGATGAGCCAGAGGTGCTTTGAAAAGCCAGTGTACCTTCAGAAAATGCAGGAACCATGATCAAAATGCATGGGGTTGCTTGCATTTTGACCCTAGCACAGTTTATAGAACTATTTGGCAGAATGGCGTTGCTTCAGCAACAAATATTCCTAAGTGTTTTGACTTAGGGTACAGTAGGACTTTCACATCCTGAAAATATCTGGTTCCGTTCAACAGGGCAGACGAGGTCCCTTGGCTCCATTTCAACCTAAGCTACGTCACCCCAGAGGAAATACCACCTCTGCACTTGTCAGTAACCCCTCTGGATTATAAAAGTTTGACTAGCTTACTGTGCAGGAGGCATGGCCCTTGCCAACATTCTTTTGCAAGATATTTTCCCCAGTCCTTCCCCCAATCATGTTTCCATGATTGCAACACTGGGGATTAATTCTTCAGCAGAGGATTGCTCATTATACTCTGCACCTTGCAAAACACATGCAGTAGTCTCTTGTCTCAAGATGTCTTGCTCTCCTAGGGCTTGGAGTCCTGAAAGTGTTTTGCTGTGTGTAGCAGAAATTTTCTTCAGCGTGCACCCCTCTCCTGGATATTCATAGTGATTGCCTCATGCTGGCAGCTGGGCCTGGGGAGAATTCAGCCGATGGCTAATCCCTGAATCCTCTGCTCCAGTGGTGAAGGAGAGGGTAGATCAGAGCAGTCACACCTGTTCCCTGCCCCATGCTGACTACCATATTTAGAGTTTCCCAAGCTCGGAGACAAATTTACCACCCCATCCCTTCCATCGCCCTATTTTAAGGAGAAAATGCCAGCCCAGATGGAAGTTACTTGTTCTGGGTCACACAATGAGTACATGGTGGATCTGGGGGCTGAGATACCCTCTTCCTGAATCATAATCCTGGGCTCCTCCAGTTACCCTCTGCAAATAGTATTTGTTTTAATAACTGGAGGAGAGATTGGAGGAAGACGTGAGAAGTATTATCAAATAGCTCTGGGGGATGTGGAAGTGGGGAGGGGACAGCTTCCACGTCCCTTAGAGGAAAGCACTAGGGCTAAGGAGTTGCAGTTTACAAGGTCATCATTTCTGACCCAATAATGAGAGAAACTTTCTACCCTCACAGCAGAATGTCCCCAGATAGTGATTTCTCAGTCCCTGGATATATTCAAGCAAAGGGCTTATCTCAAGGGTTCTGAAGAAGTCATTCCTTCATTGAGGTGGCAGGAAGGAATAGAGCCAAAGGATGCCTGAGGAGTTTTCCAGATCTATGATTATGTGGCCATCTGTATTTTTTTTTAACATGGGCATTTTTTAATTGACTTTTGTGTGTTCTATGGGATCATTAAGAACCTGGCAGGCCTTGTCAAGGGTTCAGTGTCTCTCAGCCTACAAGTGGCTGCCATTTCCCACTTGTTCCGAGAGTGTCCAACACAGAGTGACTGAGCTTGACCAATAGAGAATGCCATGGAACTTTACAACCAATGGGATCTGCAGAGTTTATCTACTCCAAGTTACATGATTTTAATGATGAAGAAACCCGGGCTCAGGAAGATGACATAAATGGTCCAATGTCAGCCAGTGGCTAGTAGCAGTGCTGAGACTAGAATTCATAGCTCCTGACACCCAGCCCAGCAGTCTTTTCATTTCATCCATGAATCAGTTTTGTGGGATTTTTTTTTTTTGAGCATTTGTCACATGACAGCACTAATCTAGATCCTGAAGAGCAAGACAAGAAGGGACATGACAGGCAAGTCCCACTCTCCTGTTGCAAACATTCAGGAGGAAGGAGAAACATGATGTTGAGCAAATGAAGTAGCTGAACTTATAATCAAATGACTTTGCTCATAAAGTCATTAAAATATGTCACTGCCCCCGCTTTTGTTCCAGGGGTATACAGATTGAACAAATGTAGGTATTTATGTGGTTTTATTGA